TTATGGATCCCTGCTAGGGAGTTCCAGAACAACGGCGGACGCTATAAAGGCTTACGGCTCGTTAAAGCTCTTTATGGGCATCCTGACGCTGGCGGACTCTGGGAGGCGCGCCTCAAAGGTTTCATTAGTGAACTTGGAGGGTGTGAAGTCGCAGAGTTTCCCGGAAACTTCTGGTTCAAGGAGTCCGGGTTACTTCTCGACATACGTCGATGACTTGACGTTGGCCGGTCCCAGCCACCTTCACAAAGATTTCTGGTAAAAGTTAACAAGACTAGAAGACATAGAACCCCCAAAAGACATCTATCGGGTGCTTGGCAGAAACCACCTTTTGATAGACGCCCCGAAGGACCCAACTGAGCCCGAACTCAATGCCGCAACGGGTAGGTTGAGACGGGGCATGGCATTCGACATGCGAGATTATGCTCGTCAAACGGTTGCGTTATATCTTGAGGTTGCACAGTTAAAAACTGAAAAGTTGCGTGATGCCACAAGTCATTTCTGTCCCGCAGGATCTTTAGACCCCGCAGATGACGCTTTGGAGGGTGAGCTTGGTTTCGCCGCATGCCGCGTGCTGATGAAGGCTTGTGGTTAGGACGTTTAGCACGCCCGGACGTAGCCAAGCCGATTGGTGACCTTGCTTCCTATGTTCAGAAATGGTCTAGGAACTGTGATAAGCAGTTCCATAGGCTTGTCTGCTACATTAATAGCACGGTGAACAGCGCCCTAGTTAGCACAGTTCAGGATTCGACTGATGACCTACATCTCTCTCTCTCTCTATGTGGATGCAGACTTCGCTAGTGAAAGAGATGCAAAATCAACATCCGGTGGTTTCTTGGTGTTGAGTGGCCCACATACGCACTTTCCTCTCGTGTGGGTGTCGAAACGTCAGACTTCGGTTTCTCGTTCCACTACCGAGGCGGAAGTAGTGTCTCTTGCGTACTCCGTGTACCAGGAGGCACTACCTGCACTCAGCCTTTGGGAGCTGATTCTAGATAGGCAATTTCACCTTAAAATCCATGAGGATAATCAGGCGACCATCCTGGTAGCAAAGAATGGTTACTCATCTAAGCTACGTTGTGTACAACGCACGCACAAGGTAAACCTTGCTTGCACTGCAGAGCAGCTCGAACGTGACCACATTTCCATAGAGTATGTCAAGACGGACATGCAATCAGCAGATATTTTCCTAAAAGCATTTCCTCCCAACAAATAGGATCATGCCATCAGGTTGCTCGGCATCCGTGTTGATAGCCCAGAGAAAGCTGGAAGATGTGCGTGAAAGCCTGTCCGCTAAAGCAGCCGCATAGTGCGCTGCGACATGTCCACAAAATTTCCAAAAGTGTGCAAGTGACTGGGCGATGCTTGAACAACTTGCGTCAGTCGTTGTGATGTAAACTTGACTTCAAGTTGGCGTGGTAATGCGCCCAAGACACTCCCTCAGTGCCGTCAATTAGGGGGGAGTCAATTATCACGATGACATTTATGGCCCAGAGGTGGTTCACCCCCGTTGTTGAGAAAACTGTGTTTCCCTCTCTTTTGAGTTGCCCAACTCCTTGCCAGCCTCATCCATCTCAGTCATGTTCACAGTCAGCTTACCCTGGATCCAAGCACTGCACAGACTCATGAATTTGCAACCGCCACTGCATCCATGCCCATGCCATGCCAATACAATGTGCTGATCCAAGCAAGGCGTATGTTGTATCAACAAATGGCTCTGGATGGGCAGCTATTGCTTGCAGCATGCTTTGCAATGATGATCTTGTGATATACTGAAAGGTCCTGTGTGCTCTGGGTTTCCTCCATGTTGCATCTTCCAGCATCAGAACTCCATTTGTGTGCTAATGACACCCTTCTCTGTCATGATGCTTGCTGTGCCATCCTTGACATTGGGCACTCTGCCTGATCTTCCATACTTCAAGGGGCCTGCCTTTTCTGATACCATTCACCAATAGCATCATCACTTTTCTTTGCTGGGATGTCTTCTATTAACTCCCTTTTGCTCAGATGATGCCTATTGCTTCTTTCCAATGCAACCCACTTCCTCAATCTCATTTATTATGGGATTTGCATGCTTCTGGCATCTAATTTTTATTCAGGGTCAGTGCTCCAAGCCACCATCCCCCATGGGATTTGCATGGTTTCATAGTGAATTTATCCAGGGATTATGCCAGCAAAGCCTGATTTACTATGGGATTTCCCGACTTTGCATGGTTTTCACAGAACATGTATCCAGGGATCATGCCAGAAAAACCTGATTTACCATAAGATGCGCATGCTTTTGGCATCTAGTCTTTGTTCAGGGTCAGTGCTCCCAACCCTCATCCCCCACTGGATTTGCAAGGATTTCATAATTAGTGAATTTATCCAGGGGTCATGCCAGGGAAGCCTGATTTGCCATAGGATTTGCAAGCTTTTGGCACTCAATGGATCAATAATTACTCTCAGTGCTCATCTCCATCCTCCAACAGCAGCAGTAGTTCGCCTCCTTCTTCATCCAGCAGGCAAATGCCTTCATGGCAATGCACCTCAGGCATCCGGTCTGAAACCTGCATTTGCTGCAGGGTGCCAATCTTGTCTCAGCCATCCTGATCTCCATCATGCATCACGGCTCAAATCTGATGCCCTGAAGAATTTGTTCTCTTTCATTGCCTGCGTTGCTGCTAGAGCTGAATGACACTTCATGTCCTTCAATTTCTTCAATTTCTCATTGGCTGCTGCATATGCATCATCATGTTTCTTGATTTTCTGAATTCTTTGCTGCCATTGCTCCTTGATTGCCATTGGCCATCTCCTAGATGCTGGGCCTTCAACATGGGTGCATGCCTCAATCTCCATGTGTGCAATGACAAAATATCCACGGCGCACATGGTTCCTGCATTCCAGTTTGATATTTGCTGCATTCTCTCCTTCAAACAGCTTCACAATCTCATGGGCATACTTCAGGCATTCAGGATGTCCACCTTCCAAGGTGTCATATTCTTGCCACTGATCCCCTTTCTTCACCAATAGGGTCCAATGCTTGTGCGCTCCATGTATCAACGCCTGATGCACAGTCCAGGATTTGCCCCTTGACCAACTCATAGCCAGCCTCATCCATCTCAGTCATGTTCACAGTCAGCTTTCCCATCAATGCTGGATTCAAGACTCATGAATTTTCAATTGCCACTGCACCCATGCCCATGCCAATACAATGTGCTGATCTTCCAGGTATGTGCCTGCATTTATCCTAAGCAGGTATGTTGTATCAACAAATAACTCTAGATGGGCAGCTATTGCTTGCAGCATGCTTTGCAATGATGATCTTGTGATACACTGAAAGGTCCTGTGTGCTCTAGGTTTCTTCCATGTTGCATCTTCCAGCATCAGGAACTCCAGACACCCTTCTCTGTCATGATGCTTGCTGTGCTTTCTCATAGTCTCTCATGATGGTGGCCCACGTCGACTCAAGCATTCCTCTCCTGTAGAACTGCGTCCTCAACTTGGGGCTCCTTTTTAAAAATAAAAAGTTCTCATCTCTTCATTGAGCTCATGCACAATGTCCACTGCACCCTTCTCCTCATCTAGCTTCTCATTATTCTTCACAGGATCACCCTAATTCATCCACCAATGAGTGCCTATGCTCCCACCAATCTGCTGGGATCCTGCTCATCTCACCTTTGATCGCGACCAGATTTCCTTCCTTCATCTGGCACGCAATCAACCATTCCTCTTGGCACACTTGCCCCTGTCTCTTCATCACCTGCTGGGCTGACTCAATCTCCTTTCTGATTTCTTTGAATTCACCTTATCATCATACCTCATTCCTGTCAGCTCCTGCTCACTGAATATCATCTTGGTATGCACAGTTTTGGCCCACACAGGGACTTGATCGCTCATTGTGATGCACATGTTGTGCCTGTTGCTGATGATCAAACACAGGGCGCGACCAATGCCCTGCCATGTCAATTGGGCCCTTGCCTTGCTCTCAAATGGCACTGATCTTGTGGGACAGCTCTTTCTGCATGAGTTTTGCTTTGACCCATCTGATCAAGATTGATGTGAAATTGCGGCCATGGTCAACATTACTACAAGTTGGCCGACAGCCCGGCGACAGGGGAAGTTTGGCGGAGCGTCCTGGCGCACGAAGGCTTCCAAGATCCTCAAGCTCGCAACACGCGTCAATAAAGGCGCAGCAGTAACACTGAAGCTCTGAGTGAAGAGGACAACGTGACCGTAACAACTCAATTTGCAAGGCGCAAGAAAATGCTACTCTCGCGACATCAGGAACAAGAAGGGTGAGGCCAAACTACCTCCTGTCATATTCCGTGCACATGCTCGATACCAATGAACATCACGTGCAAGGCTATGCGGAGGAGACGGGGCCTTCGAACGAAGGTTTGTTTATCGTCATACCTGGGTTGCGGACAGGGCGCCGTGGTTTGAAAGTGATGAAGAGTGATAAGTCGCCGGACGATCTTGACGCGACTTGTTCCCGCGCGGCGCAAGACTTCGTATTAAGGATGAGCCACGCAGCCATTGAAGAAGTTGTCAGAGTCCGGATCAGCTGCTGCGGGGCAAGGAAATAAACTGGGCCGGCTGCTTGCAAGGTGATCAACGCGCGGAGCAAAGGAGCGGCGCAGACTCTGGCTTGCCCGTGCCTGGGGAAGGCTTGCAACTCAATCAGCAGCCGCAGTCACTAGGGACAACAAGAAGCGCAAATAAGAGACGCAACGAAAGATGTCGTCAGGGGCGTGACGCAAAGCGACTAGAAATGTCTTATGAGACATGGTTTTAGACTTTGGGAAGAGAAGCGGCGGAAAGACAAGTGACGAGAGCCATGGTGACGGACATGACAAGAGACGCGACCAGAATCGTGATGAGAGGTGATGAGTTCTAAGCGAGGTTGGAAAGCGAATTGCAAAATCCCCGCGGGCTCTCACAGGCTGTACACGGAAAGAAACACGAGACTATCAGCGCAGGCAAGCGGCAGAAGGGGAAACTGGACGGCTGACATGGCTGAGGCTGCAGATTTTGGTCAACAACGCGGGGACGACGCAGGGCTGCAGCTTGACGCAAGACAAGATCGAGTCAGCGTTCCAGGCTGTCGCGCCACCTGTGTTTGCACGCGTTGTTATTTGAAACGCGCGCTGTTTGCTCCCCTTGTTGTCTATTTTGCACGCCTGCAGGTGAACTATCTCAGCCACTTTCTTTTGACTAACGGCCTGATGCCCGCTTTGCGTGGCCGTCCCGCAAGGGTGGTCCATGTGACTTGCCAAGAAGGCAGGACGCGGCAAGGTTTTCCAAGGTCGCGAAACTGAAAACTTGCTGCGCAGGCTATCTTCGGCCTGCTCGTGGTTGGAGTCACCGATTTGGCGAGGCTTCGGACACGCCACGTTTCTTCAAGGCTTCGGCTCGGATTGCAGGGCGTGCTCCAGGGCTGGTTGGGAACCCCTGTGCCGATCCAAGAGGGCGTCAGGCCGAGCAGGGTTGGGAAGAGCAGGAAGCTGGTCGCGACGGCGCTTTCCTTTCCAGGGTGGGCTCAATGCGAATTACTTCTGGGAGGACGGGAAAGGAGGCGATTGATTACATGCACGGTTTTGCGTCTGGGGCTGGCTCGAAGCTTCAGGACACCGGGGTCAAGTCATGAGGTGGAAGATTCTGCAGCACCCTGGACGTAACGTTATGCAAGTTGGTCAAGTGAAGCAAACGGCCTGAGAGCGAGTTGCGCCAAGGAAGCCGCAACTCTGCGCGAGGACATTGAGTGGCGCGTCGATCGCCACGCTCTTAGCCGCACCGGTTTTGTCTGGCTCAAGAACAGGAGGCGTTTTTTTTGGAAGCCTGTGGTTTTTCTTAGGGCTGCTCCGTGGCCGGCTGCCCGCGTTTGCTTTTGTTGGGGGAAACGGGTCTCATTCAAGAATGATACGTCTGCCCCAGATTTCATGATGGCTGCACCTTGTCCACGCCGCCCCCCTGTTGACTCCAATACCTCCTAGGTTGGATGGGTGCACCAGCACCAGAGTGGGCAAAATGGTTTATTTGAACATGTTTCTTCTGAGGGTTTGCCATGATTTGTGGCTCAAAAAACACTGACTGCTGGAAACTTGGTAGTGACTACGCCATCCGGCCACAAACAACCGCGCAAAGCACTATTCACCTCACGCAACAGCTGTTGCCCCACACTACAAGAACAACTAGATGATTGGCGCCTGGCCGTCAGAAGCAGACAAGGACAAGAACAAGAACAACGGCAAGAGAAGACCAAACAACTTTCCAAACTAAAACTACAAAGACTTGAAGGTGATGGCTGGACCGGAGAAGCCAGACTCCGAAGAAAGTCACACCTACACACCGGCTGACACACACCACCACGACAAAGCTCTTCACGGCAAAGCGCAGCAGAGACACCGCCGACAAGACAAAAGCTACAAATACCGGACTCCACAAAGCAGACCGAAGATGTTCCACCATCTGCGCGATGTATTTCGGACATTCCAATTCAGGAGGGTCTGACAAATGATGGCTTGGTTGTGATCGTATGCCTTCTGGGCCTTGGTCTTCAGGGCATGCCGTCCTTATCTCTTTTGAGGGTACGGACCTTTCAAGTGTCAACAAGACCAAACACCTCATTATAACGCGATGATTTGCACCCTAGGAGCTTTGCTTCAAGGGTGGTATCTGATACTGGAGGTTTGGCCATGCCGTTTTTGCTGCGCTAAGGCCAAAAAAGGTGATATCGCTCAGAAGCGCGCGACATATGACACCCATGGCCCGGCATATGACACCGAAAGCGCTCGGCAAAGGATCTTGACAACCCTGCGCAACAAAAAAGCAGGGCATGGCTGCATTCAGGAAGATTTGCCGCAGGCGCGCGCGCCTTGCACCAAACAACGTGTGTGTGTGTGTGCATACAACATGTGCGAGCGTGCATCGATCTAGAAAAACCTGTTTGTGAAAGTTCTCACATCTGTATTCCGAGAAACTTTACAGGCCCAAATCAACCTTGCAATTCCGAGGCCCAAATCAACCTTGCAATGTTTAGATGTCTCCCGCCAAATCTGCGCTTCGATGACAAGCGCCGACCCTAAACCCTAAGCGCGCGAATGTGTGGAGCTTCGGCCGCACTTTCGACAGCGCCCGCTTCTCCTTTGACACATTGTGTCCGCCAACCGAACGAGACACTGAGCGTACAGCACGCCCAACCTCGCAGAAGCGGCGAGTCAAGCTCCATCTGAATCTGATGAAAACTCGTGTGAAATAGCTGGTCATGCCCTCGCGAGTGTGCAAAAGACAACACACGTCTTGATTCCCGAGCTCTGCCAAAATGAGTCTCCAATTGGTGGTTGCGCACATGAATCTCTGCAGGCAGGATGCTCCCGGCAACGGGCGTGCACCTTGGCTGCGCCCCAGACTTGTCAACCAGGAAGCTCCACTCGTTCAAGCTCCATGCCGGCACAGAAGGCGTGCCAAGTTCAGGGACTTTGGCGTCCTCAACAAACTGTGGACACAACACACATTTCAGCGCAACTCAGGCCCATCGATTGATGGCAGCAGCGTGTTCTGCCACACCCTGCCCCAGCAACGCAAACTGCAGCTTAAGATCTCGCAGAAGTTGGGCCAGAAAGTTGATCCTTGCACGTGCGTTAGATATAGCTGTAAAAACATAAAAACACATGTCATTGAAGCACACAGCTGGACACGATCACACATCTACACATATGAGAGTTGCGAACAAGGGGGCCACGCGCGACTAAGAGTCACTCCGAACTCCAGCATCTCTTTAACCCACAAGGTCCACGGCCCGTCCGGCACGCGCGCGCACATGCGGGCTGGCAATTTGCGGAGCTGAAGAAATCAGGTTGAAAGACTTGACCTAGCAATCCCTTGCTCAAGGCTCAAAGGCGCCCTCACTTGTTGAAAGATCACACCTTCTGCCTTTTTCCGAGCGCCTCGTTGAGGCCTTTGCCACCGCGTGCCGCTTGAACATGGTTAGGATTCAGATGAGCAACTGCTCGCGGAAAATCAACGTACGACTGGCCATGCTCCGTCAATCAAACCAAATCAAATCAAATTAAATCAGCCAAATCAATTCACATGAAATCAATGCAACTCAATCAACCAACCAATCAAGTCAAAGCTAGGGTTGTTCTCAGCCAGGCTCTTCGCAAGTTCCTCTCGCGAGTGAAAAAGCTTGCGCGTGCTTTGACCATGTGCCGCTTCGCGCTGCCTTGTTGGGGCCTCAAAAAAGGCTTATTTGTTATGAATCTTTTGACAAAGCTTCGTGTGAAGAAGCTCGCGCCTAGCCTATGTGTGCTGTCGGCTCTTCTTCTCAGCGCCCGGCAGGCTCTCCAGAATGATCCTAGAAACACTGTGTAGCACACTTGCACGCACGCATCATTCAAACGCTGAGCATAGGGCTGTCGGACTGTTACTGCCTCCACAGACCCATTGCCGCCTATTTTGCAGACACAGACTCAAGGGTGAGTGAGAGCGGCTTTGGGCCTCTGCTGGCCGCTTGGCGCCTGACTCGACGACCTTCCCGCAACAGTACGGTTGAGGAAAGACAAACATCGTGTTGCAACTGCATGTGAGAGCTTGCTGCATTGGATTTTCAGGAGCCCGCGAGTGTACACACATGCCAATTTCATGTCACGCTAAATCAGCCCTGCCTTGCGCTTTCTATTCCCTGGGTTTGGAACCAAAGCCTGAGCGAGACGACGACACGTTCTATCACAGGGTTGCCCTTTTTGTCATCATTCTCAAAGACCTCTTCGATCGAGCCCTCGTCCTGCATTGATTGCAAACTGGGGCAACTGCGAGAGACTGCCCTCTTTTGTCCTTGGCATGTGCGCCACCACCGACCTGAACATTGCACATAGCTGCAGCTTGCCCGGCCTGCCCGCCCTTGCTGATCTTCTTGCTCTTGGCGCCGGCAGAACACCACTGGCCTGAAAATGGCGGACAGCCACAATGAAAATTAGGGCCTGCTCAATCAGACTGATCTTCTTGCTCTTAGACTCTTGCTCTTGGCAGCAGCAGCTGCACCACTCACCTTACGAAAGCAAAGCGCAAGCAATCTGCGTGGCAGGCCACCCACGCTGACCTGCTCGTTATTGCCGGCAACCGCATCACCAACCTGGAAAAAGGCAAGCAGCCGCCTCAATGTGAGCAGTTTATGACAAGCCCTATAGATATCATGGAAGAAGAAGCCAACGCGTGCTCCTTGTTGGCAACAGGCCGGGAAAAAAGCGCTGCAATCTGTCACAGGCACCTTCTCGCCCTCACCGGCAACCTCATCACCAACCTGGGCCAAAGAAAAGCAACCAGCCGCCGCAGCACGCCCACCCTTCTCGTCCTTTGCCCGAGCCACATCGCCAACCTGGAAAAGGCACAGCCTCCGCAAGGTGAGCGACCTGTGTCTGTGTGACAGGCCTGCTCGTCCTTGCTGCCCGCCGCGCCACCAAGCTAGAAAATCAAACAAAAGCGGCAAAGAGAACAAGCTGCATGATGGACGCACGCGTGTGAAAAAACACTTAAGGGCAAAGCGTGTTGGCCACCTTCTGCGTGTTGTTTTATCCTGCCACATTTCAAGAGAGACACCGCACTCAAGCCCTTCCTGATCCACCTGTCTGACCCGGAACCGGCGCCTCAAGAAGCAACAAATGAATCTTACATGTTGGTTTCAACCTGAAACAAGCACAGCAAGCAACCATGACGTGGCGGCTGGTGCAAGTGGGTCACCATCAAATCCTGCACAAAATAAACACATGGCTACCAAAGATCAAGGCACTCTTGGCAAAGATATCAGGCAATATAACAGGAACCTTGCTCTTTGAGGGCTGCCTTGAGGCGTTTGCGATACTTTTTTTGGTGGTCAGAGGGCTCCGAGGGCGGCTCCATTTGCAGTTGCGCCAGCGCTCTTTCAAGTTGTCCGGGGGTGGCGTGCTCAAATTCGTGCTGCGGAGAAGTTTAAGGCCAAAAACCTCACCGCTGGATTATCGTTGTCTCCTGCAAACTTCAAACGAGTCGAGAGGTTTGGTCATCCCTGTGAAATCTCCTGTGTCCGCTGGCTTGCTCCGAGTGAACTTCTTCTGCGTCAGGTTGGGCGCCACACACTCCTTGGACGGAAGCGGAGAGTTTGGAAAACACGGCGGATTGACCAACACGCATCAAACATCACGAAACCAAGAATCTTTCAAGGTTGCCTTTGGATCCATGCATGTCCAACTTGACTGGCAAGCTTGGGTGGCAGTGACACACACTTTGATCTTCTCAATCTCAAGGCTAAATGGCGCCCATTCGACCACAGCCGAGGTGTAAACTTTGCGGGCGAAAAGGCTTGGCGGCCGGTCGGCGTTCCCTGGTAGTTTGGGCAGTTTTGGTTTTTGGTTGGTCCTCTTGAGCACAGTGGTCCGATTTATCTGAAATCCAAGCCCATGAAAGCTCTTACTCCGGACCTTGGTTGGTGGACACCTCTCAACCCCTATGAGGGCTCTCTGAGAATCACAAACCGGCTCGACCTACATGGCCAATAAAAAGCCAACGCGCTGCAGCGCGGTCAAGGTAATGACTTCCGCCGCCGAGTTGGGTAGAATTGGGCGGCCATTGACTGAAACAAGATTGGGTTGGGCATCCACAAACAAGATTGGGTTGGGCGTCTGATTGAAACAAGATTGGGTTGGGCGTGCAACTGGCAACCGTGCACCTCCTGGCCACCATCCTCCCCACGCTCCCCTTCGGGCTCTTGACAAGCCGCGGAGCCCTATTCACCACCCCGCTGCAAGGGTCCTTCGGCGCGCGTCTTCTTGGCCTCTGGCTCCCGGCGATTGGGGCGAATCCGAAGTCGCCCGCTGCAGCAGGAGGCTCTGGTTTGCGGCTCACGCACCTCCAGGTCTTGCTCGGCCTTCTCCATGGCAACGTAGCCCGTGCCTGTGGTCGACGTTGTGGAAGTGCTCCAAAGCGACTGAGCCAAAATGCTTCCGGAAAAGATCAAACTTGTCAAGATCCACCAACGGGCTTTGCAAACGCGGGTCTGTCCTTTCGATGGTAAACTCACCCAAAGATGTTCTTTCAAATGGCACAGCGATCAACACGAGTGTCCTGTGGAAAGAGCTCCCAGATCCATTTCCAGCACATGAGTTCAGTTTGAAACTTGAGGGAACATGTAGCAATCTGCCACCCCTCCGGCGGCGCGACTGTGTGCCCAGCTGCCGCGTAGCGGGAATCCCCCGATCCTATGTGGATGGATGGGCGGATGGACAGATGAGAAACGAACAAGCGGTGCGTGGAGTGTGTTTCCGTTTAAGGGAACAGCTGGATGGATGGATGGATGGATGGAGCGACCTGCAAGGCTCTGCGTCCAATGGCACCTGCCCCTCGTCCCCGTGAAATCTTTGTTGTTTCTTAGGCCCGTTGAGCAGCAGCAGCAACAACAACGACGACGACAACGACGACAACGCAGCAACTGCAACAGCAACAGCAACAGCAACAACAACAACAACAACAACAACAACAACAACAACAACAACAACAACAAAAACAAAACAGCAGCAACAACAGCAGCAGCAGCAGCAAGAACAACAAGGCCACAGCCGCGTAACGACCCTGTGCGCGATTTACCGATCCCAATTTTCAGCGCACGGCTCGTGAGATGATGCGCGTGAGCGGGTGTTCTTATCATGTGCCAGGCATGAGTGCAGTCGTGAGATGATGCGCGTGAGCGGGTGTTCTTATCATGTGCCAGGCACGAGTGCAGTCGTGAGATGATGCGCGTGAGCGGGTGTTCTTATCATGTGCCAGGCATGAGTGCAGTCGTGAGATGATGCGCGTGAGCGGGTGTTCTTATCATGTGCCAGGCATGAGTGCAGTCGTGAGATGATGCGCGTGAGCGGGTGTTCGTATCATGTGCCAGGCATGTGTGCAGTCGTGAGATGATGCGCGTGAGCGGGTGTTCTTATCATGTGCCAGGCATGTGTGCAGTCGTGAGATGATGCGCGTGAGCGGGTGTTCTTATCATGTGCCAGGCATGAGTGCAGTCGTGAGATGATGCGCGTGAGCGGGTGTTCTTATCATGTGCCAGGCATGTGTGCAGTCGTGAGATGATGCGCGTGAGCGGGTGTTCTTATCATGTGCCAGGCATGAGTGCAGTCGTGAGATGATGCGCGTGAGCGGGTGTTCTTATCATGTGCCAGGCATGTGTGCAGTGCGGGTTGTTCTTGCTGGCGACAAACCGCGTAGCGACCCAGAAGTGTTGTCTGTGATCACTCAGGGGGAAAAATGGCCAATGTTCACGCTATGGTAAATAACACAGGGTCGTTACGCGGCTGCAACCAACAACAACAACCAAACAACAACCACCACCGCCACAACCGCAAACACAACCCCATGCAACCGCAACCACAACCACAACCACAACCACAACGACGACAACGACAATTAGCGACAACAAAGCCAAACCAGCCAGAAGCAAACCCAAAAAACGGAGCGACCTAGTTAACCGACTGGCCGACCTCTAACACACAAACAAAAACAAAAGACAAAACGAACGAAACGCAAAACCAACCGACCGGCCAACAAACACACAAGTTTAACAAACAACCAAACAAACAACCAACCAAACAAACAAACAAACAAACATAGAACCAACAAACAGACAGACGCAGCCAGACATGCCAACAGACAAAGCAAGTTCACAAACGAACAATGAAAGACAAAACAAAACAAACAAACAAACAAACAAACAACCGCAACGAACACACCAATAACACAAATCAAGCCGCAAAAGCACAAACAAAACATGTGCAGACTGTTTAAACAGCAAACCAAGCAAAATAGAATCCCAACGAAGCTATCAAAGCAAACAGAAGGGGCAAGCAAACATAGATGAACCAACCAGACAAGCAAGCCAACAAACAACGAAACAAAGCAAAAACAAAGAAACAAAACGAACACCACGAAGAGCAAGCTACACACACGGACAAAGAATGGTTGCGCCCTTAATGAGACGCGCGGTGGCACACACACCACATCTTTTGCGACCACTTTCCAAAGACAATATGAGGAACTGGTTTCATCCCAATCTTTTGCTTCTTCGGAGGACTGCTCTGTAGGTTCCTGTGTTTCTGCTTGCTGAAGACCAGGCAGTTCAAGCTCTGCAGCCTCATCATCGATCTCCGGCAAAGTCGCGGTATTGAGCAATTGGCTGGCTGTGTAGAAGGAAATTTTGCATGAGTGACGGTGGCTGGACGCACTGTTTGGTGGGTTGGCACGGGATGATCTGGCTCAACATTGCTTGCTTCTTTTGCGCAGAAAGTCAGAAAGTCTCCAGTTGAATGTTTACATCTCTGCCTTTTACTGCATCAACCATGTGTGGTATGTTCACGGTTATTGGGATCAGGTGGACACCCTTTCACTCCCTTCGATGCGGGGTCCTACAGTGCTGATCCCATGATCCTCAGCTGCTTCGTCCTCCTTTGCTGAGACATAACAATTGAGGCCGTTCACGGCAATTTCTTCATGAGCCACACTGCATGCGTCCTGGAACTGGCTGTCCGCGCGTGCCAAAGGCTTTGCTACGCCGGCAGGCAAAGCTATGTCTACCTCTTGAAGGAGGACAAGCTACGACCAAGCAAACCCGACCAGCTGCTTCTTGTGCCTCAATAAGCCAGGGCAGGACATTCGCCTGATCGCTGGAAGATAGGGCAGAACTTTAATCGCTTCGGTCAGCGCTAGGCTCTCCTTTGCCCTCTCCGCCTTCCCCTTTTCCGTCATGGTGTGCCGGATAACTCTCGTGCGCCGTTTGTTTTTTCTGTCTACGTCCTGATCTGAGGTTTCGCCTCGACACTTTTACCGGCTGCGGGCGCGTCGCGATCTTCGAGGGCCCAGATTGTCTCCCGATCACCGGCTCGCATGAAACCTTCATTACCATCTTCATCTTCGACCCAAAAACCTTCTTCTCGAATTCTACTTGCGCGAGAATGTGGAAGATGTTTCGGGAATTCCTGGCAGTCGCAGAGTTGGGTCTTGGACCGATGTTCTTGTCGCGCGGAGAAGATCGTGCCGCTGTGTCTTCACCGTTCTTTGCGCTGACAAGAACTGCGCAATGAGGTTGAGGAATTGCACCTGCTCCGGCCTGAGTCGTTGCTGAGGCTGCGCGGCTCTTCTGTTTTCGGCATCCCGCGCCTGGTGGAGGTAGGCGCCGTACTTGGGGGCGTCAGACCATTCCAGGATGATTTCATCCCTCGTGCCAAATCCCGAGATGAACGTGAAAAGCTCTGTGTTGTGTCTCCTGTGATTGAAGAAGTTGAGGAGTCGATAAAGATTCACACTGGCCGCTCCTTTCAGGAAGTAACTCGGTCAGGTCTTGTTGCAAAGTGTTGTCAATCAGATAGCGGCGCACAAGTGCGTCTCCCATCAGCTTGCTCTTGCAGAGAGGTTGCTTCAACGATTGCGAACTAGGTCCAGTCATCAATGAGTTTTTTCATATCTAAACCAGCTGGTCTTCCGTCGCACGATTGTGGCTGCTTGGCAGTCGTTGGTAAGTTCGTCAGTGCTGCCGATTCGGCCATCTGCTGCTATCTTGTGTGAGTCTTGATTGAAAAGCCCGTTCCGCTGCCACAATTAATTCCCGAACTCGGGGCAACTCCTCTCTAAAGCTGAGGAGAAGACACTGCGGTTTCTGTGCCTCTTGATCTGTTTCAGGTAAGAACCTGATTTCGGGCGCATCAATTCGATTAGAAGTTCCTGCCATAGGTTTTGTTGGTGGGGCAAAGTTCAGCGAGCTCCCTTTCCTGTGAGGAACGCGGCGAATGCTACTCTGGTAGAAAAACCAGCCTGCAAAAATGTTATACGCATGCAAAGTGTTTGCCAGAAGGCGAAGTGGCCTGCAAAGCGCAAAACACCCCGCGCGGATTGAGCGCAGTCGCGGGCAGAAGACGTCAATTCAGTAGAACGCCCGCACGAGTGAACAAGCGCCAAACCCCGTCGTGACGTGAGTGGCCAGGCCTGAGCTGAAGCAGTGACGTAGCTCACAAAAACAGAGAAACGTTAATCATAAGGGTCCGGTTTCCTGGCTCGCCGTTCTTCTTTTCCTCGTTTGAGTCTTTTACCAGGTTCCAGCATGCTGCTCTCAACGTACTCAAATCATGTGGACGCAAAGCCGGTCACATCAATATGTGTCGACAGAACAGAGAAACACCAACATCACAGACAGGTTGCGGCCCCATCATATTCCCTTCTTGTTTTCCCAGCGCGCGCATGCTTCGAAGGCTGCAAAGTGGCAGAGGCTTACAGCAATGCTAAGCTGGCAGCGGGGCCCCCAGATTTCACTATTCGGACCGTATTTTCAGGATTGAAGTTTGCGGTGTCACTGAGGTGCTGGCGTTCTCAAGAGAATTGGGCCGACGCGGGATCTCGTCTCACGCCATAAATCCCAACGCCGGGCACACAGCGCGCTGTCGGATTTGCAGAACCTTGCAAAGTGGTTGAGAGTAAGTGTTGCATATCGCCGTCGCGCCTTTTGCACGAATTGCCACTGAAGCTGAGTGATGTAACTCATTGTGATTGGGACAGGGTGGCCCAAGAACATGGGAGTGGACTGAGATGCATGTCGCAGTCAAGCGCGCAATGAATGTACTTACATGGCATCAATGGACAAGTGTGTCATTGGGCCAAGGCGTTGCTAACAGACTTCAAGCCATTAGTTGCAGAGCCTTGGTGGCACGGAGGGGAGTGGAAACGAATGAAGCTACCTTTGGGCCAGGAACGGTCTTCAAGCATGTCCTATTTTCCGCCGGTTTGGATTACAGGCTCGTGCCAGAATTTTGGTTTTCTGCCATTTGCTTCAATCAAGCAACAGGCAAGGTCTTCGGCTTTCTCGGCAACAGATTGAGGAAGGTGCCATGTGGTGAGAACTGTGACGACTTGTGATATGTCGTATTGAGTGTGCCAGTGATGCCAGATCACAACACGATCCGTGGAGCATGGTGCTAAAGGCTGGCAGCGTCATTTCATTTCCGACGCAAGTCGATTGCTGGTCACGGGCGTTCACAGTGTGTCGCAGGCGTGCTTCATGTTGCCAGCCTCAAAGCTTTGGAGAGAAGCAGAAGTGGACTCTTTGATGACACGGACCGCCGAGAGATCGACTCAGCAAAAACCGGGTTGAAGCCAGTTGAATCCCTGTCCGCCGGCTGGCAACAGACGCGAGCGTTTATTGTAAGGTGTTCTTCCGCGCTCTGCGCTGATGGGAAGATGTTGTTAAACATAGGCGCCTTCCGCACCGCAACACCCGCAGCAGCAAGTGCGCCTCTTGCAATTGTTCTGCCGCGTTTCTTGCACATGTTTTCGCATGTTTCTGCGCTGTGATACAAAGTATGTTCAGCGCAAATTCTGGGCCAGGCTTGAACGACCCTTTCCCTGCATTGACTCTCAAACCTGCGGCGCTTGATCTCTTAGGAGGAAGTGTCCACTATGGTAACGGTGCTCTGTGACATTGGGTCTATGTTGGTGTTGTGGATGTACACCGAATGGATGTGCTGGTCAATGGGTGCCCTTGTCAAATAGGCTTGTAGATGTATATTGCGGAGAGCGCTCCGCGAGGGTTTTCACACACGCGTGTTTTGCTACTCTCAGTGAAAAGAGAGTGGGAAGGAAGGGCCCTTGAGCAAAGATTGTAAAACGATTGCGCGGGCCTTGATGCAAATGCCAACGCCAAGACAGACACACATTTTTGGAGCGCCGCGGACAATCGTATGTCCTAATATTGTTCGTACCAACCAAGGCTCTGATTGCACACGGAGCATGTGCGACACAGACCGGTGCGATTGTGACCAACACCAAGGAGCCGTTCAAGGAAGTGATTTCTGTGTGGTGTGCCAGACCCCAGGTTCGCGACCGTGAAGTTGTGGCGTGTACCGGTTCTTGGACACCCGCGAGTGTGCAGAGATTGACGGACGTGGTGACCCTTTTTCTCCCCGGAGTGCAGCGAGGCCAAGTTCAAGGACATCCACGAGCTGCAAATGGCCGTTGCCTACGTGGTTTGGGGGCAGAGACACAGAGAGAGGCAATTGCAAAAGGTATGAAGACAATGCCTCCTCCGTTCCACAGTAAGCCAAGCGCATTCACCTATTGCCTGATGTGTTGCGGCTATGTCTCACGGGGTCATCCTGTGTCCGCTCAGGAGGCAGCTGAAGAAGTTGATGTTAACGAAATCAGGAGGATTGCAAAACAAGCCGCCGAGACAGCAAAGCCTATCAGGACCACGACGACGAAATGGGTACACGTGCCAAGGATGAGCCTGAACCAGAAGTCGGGTTGCTTGGAGGCGACGTTCCTGAGATCAGGAGGGCGAGGCGTGGACCCACTAGACGTCTGGTCATAAGGCCATCCTCAGGACATTCAGGAAGAACCTCAGCGCCATCAACCGATATTGGGGACCTGACATGAGGCGGACAACAAGGACAAGATTGACCGGCGGAAGGAGCGCTGCACCATGTTCCAAGATGCTTGCCCATTGACAACCAATCTCGGCCTGTCACACTTGCACAGTGGAAGAGTACGCCGAAATGAAGGGCGTCGCCCCTATCATGGGGATGTTCTGTACGAAGCCCTGCCAGTTCCCATTGAAAATGTTCGGGAAGAAAAAGCTTTGGCAGAGCCTCAAGGATCTGAAAGAGGCCGCCGTCGCGACTTACAAATCTTCAGAGTTGCGAGCTCCGAGGAACAATTCGCTGGATATATTAATGTTCGACGTGTTCCACATCGTCATCGGCACATGTTTCGAAGTCGAGAAGTATTCGTTTTTTCAGTCGAGCATGCATGCGATTAAAGGCGAAAATATATTCCTTTCGATTGGTTGCGCGCCGCTATGGGCGACAAGACGACCGCGCAGGATCTTCTTTTGATGAACCATCATGGGACGCATGTCAGCCCTGTTCTTCGAGATCAGTTGAACAATTACAACCGGTTGCGCAGGGCATGACCATCCAGACCAGAATCCCATTGGATGACGGGGAAGCGACAATCCAGCCTGCCGCCGGGGGTCCGTGAGACCTGCCTCATCTGCTTCTGGCGGGTGTGTTTTTGGCTTGTTTTTGGGTCCGGTTCCGGGTCTGCGCAAGCACACACGCGGGCGCGCACGCGCTCTCACGCACGCACCCAAACACAGGCACACACACACACACACCAAACACACACAAACACACCCACCCACCCACCCACCCACGCACACGCACACGCGCACGCACACGCACACGCACACCCACGCGCACGCGCACGCACACGCGCACGCACGCGCGCGCGCACGCACTCGCGCGCGCACGCACGAACGCACGCACGCGGGCGCGCGCGCACACGCGCGCACACGCACGCACGCGCGCGCCCACGCGCGCACACATACACGCACGCACGCACGCGCACGCACGCACGCATGCCTGGGCCAGCTGCCATGCAAAAAGCATCGGTTTTCACGGTTTTGTGCAGCAAAAACCTGCATTTTCGCGTGTTTCTCCAGTGTTTCAAATCTGCGGCCGAGAGTGCCCCATCGGGCAAAAGCAAAGGCGAGGGCAACAAGGGCAAACAGAAAGGGAAAGGCAAAGGCAAGGACACCAAGGGAAGAACTACGTTTGTCCTTGAAGACGGGATGTGCGGGATCGCACCGATGTTTGTGACGTGTATTGGACGGGTTACTATGGTGGATGGGATGAGAACTGGTGAAGAGACCGCCGGCACTTAAGCGTCTACGGCCTTATGACGGTTTATCAGCCTATTACCAAGCGGTGTGATTGTGTGCGGAAAGCGCAAAATGACTTTGCGTATTCCATTCCTTGTTCCTTCAGGCAGCGCGCAAGAGAATCTGGTAAAGAAACATGATCTTCTCAGGCCCTCTGCTTGCTGACGAGCTTGGGAATTCATCGCGAAAAACAACGCGTTTCCATGTCAAAGGATTCCGTAACATGTTTCTATATCCTACTGACAACTCCACTTACACAAAGTACAACTCTTGTTGCGCTTATAAAAAAGTGACCTGGTCTTCTGGATGTTTCTTTGCTTGGCTATACGGATTGGCTGCGGATGTAGACCAACGGCAGTCAGAGTCGCGTGTTGCATTTATGAACATTTCGTTCGTGATATCTTCTACTCTCCGCAGAAAGGTGGCGATGGTGAGGAGGTTGTTGTTTTCGAATTTTGTCTGGCCGTCAAGCTTCGAGTCCATTTGCTGTTGTCGAACTGTCTGTCCACAGGCAAACTCCACTCCCCACCCCGCGCCGCTCCACTCCAACACGTCAACGCTCCACACTTGTCGGACTCGGAATCTTCCTTGACCGCACGCCTTGGGTCGCTTTGATCCCCTGCGTCAACTTCAATGGTGGCGCTGGCTTCGGCTCAGTCTTCTTTCTCTCCTTCGATTGTAAAACCGATCTTCCTCAAATTCAGATGTCTCTTGTTGTCGGCCCAAGTCAACGACGGGATGTAGTGGACTTGTCTTCATTGTAGTCCTCCATGTGGAAATTGCTGATTATTCCCGAAAGCATTGCAAAGAGTTTCTGCGGCAAAGTCATTGCCTCTGCGCAGCTCAACTGCATAAAGAAAGTAGACACTGAAACGCGCAGAGGCGTGCGTAGGGAAAGTAGACCGTGAAATGCATAGAGGCACGCGCAGGGAAAGTAGACAGTGAAATGCATAGAGGCACGCGTAGGGCAAGTACAGAGTGACGCGCATATATGCATGCACGGGAAAGTAGACAGTGATATGCGTAGAGGCATGCATAGGGCAAGCGCAGAGCGAAGTGCATAGATGCATGCGCAGGGAAGGTAGCTTGCGAAATGCATAGAGGCATGCACAGGGAAAGTAGACAGTGAAATGCACAGAGGCATGCGTAGGGCAAGCGCAGAGTGAAGTGCATAGACTCATGCGCAAGGAAAATAGACTGCGAAATGCATAGAGGCACGCGCAGTGTAGACGGTGAAATGCATAGAGGCATGCGTAGGGCAGGCCTGCGTAGGGCAGGCGCAGGGAAGTGCGCAGATGCATGCGCAGGGAAAGTAGGCAGTGAAACGCACAGAGGCATGCGCAGGGAAAGTAGACAGTGAAATGCCTACAAACAGGCGCAGGGAAGCAGGGAAAGTAGACATTGAAATGCAGAGACATGCGTGGGCAGGGAAATAGACCGTGAAACGCATAGAGGAACACATAGGGAAAGTAAACAGTGAAACTCCTTCGCGTACGAGCGTAACTTGCATGAGGAAACTTGCGCACTATCTTAAATTAGTATCTTGAGGCGGCGCGGTGGGACCAAGCGCAAGGTGCGCGCTGGCTAAAAGCGCAGTAAGCGGCCTCTCAGGGATCGGCGTGGTTGATGTCAAGAAACTGCGGAGTTTTTTTTACGATTCCTGCCGTGCGCCCGCAACCCTCTCCGGAAATCAAGCACCATGCGCAAGAACTCAGGGCTTTTTTTGCGATTCCTGCCGCGCGCGCGGCCGCCTGCGGGGATCGGCGTGGTCGAGGAGCAAAAACTGTGGGTTTTTTGCGATTCCTGCGGTGCCCGCGCGGCCGTCTGCGTGGGTTGCGCGCGCGCCGGTCGCTGTCGCTATGGTCCACGGCGAATCTTCGCTTCGCGTTTCGCGTTCGCCCCTTCGCGGGGATCCGGAGGGTCCGATATTGAACAAATCAATTGCTACTGGTCCAGTGAAAAAAGGTGCCTGAAGATGGAAAAGCGGGGCTTGAGACAAAGCCAGACCAAGACAAATTAAAAGGGGGGCTTGAGACAAAAGGCGGGCCTGAGACAAAGCCAGACCAATCCAAAGACCAAGCAAACACAGGCACAGCCAAGAAAGAGCAAGAGACAAAGCCCAGCAAGGCTGCCGAATAAGAGATGATGATGACCATGATGAT